ATGAAGATATATGTAGTTGGTTTAACAAACTAAGTGAGACTACACAATTTTTTTCAAATCTGAAGCTGTGGAGATTAACAGTGGAGGTGAGCTGTCGTTGCGTCGTACGTAAATCCGACAGTTTTTTGTCCACACGTAACGATAAGCAGATTCTTTGGCTTTTGCTTTTGCTTCAAGGAGAAGTTTTTTGTTACGTGGTGTTAGATGCTCGTTCACATAGATGACTTTGGGATCGCCAGTGGCCAATATATCTTTAGTCGATAAGTTCCTACATTTTCGCACTGCAGACAGAAATGTGTCTTTATTGAGGCGCGATTTGAAGCGCGCGATGATCGTGCGCGGTTGGTTGTTGGATGATCGCTGTGGTTTAACTCTGTGAGCGAAATCTACATCAGCTTCTAATAATTTGTGGCCAGCCTTTTCTGCTATTTTTGTAAGAATGTCTATGAGACATTCGTTGCTTTTTTCTGGTACTCCTACAATTTCCACGTTTTGCTGACGGACCCACTGTTCTTGCTTAGCAAAATCGTGCTCGATTGTCGAGATCTTTTTCTGCATATCCTTAAAATCGCTGCGGAGAGAGGAGTTTTCTGTTTTTAAGCACTTGGTGTCCTCAGATGCTACGGATATGGACTTCATTATATCATCGTACTTGTCACCGATATATTTTATTGATTTTTCTAGTTCACTGATGTTATCCCTAATAGCTTGGAATTCTTTGCAGATAAGATCTTTAATAATACTAGGCACTTCATTCCTAATTATGTCCAATATATCTTTGCGCATTTTGTTAGCAAACTCTGAGTCGAAGAGATTTAAGCAGTCCGGAGAACGCGGATGACGACGTCGAGTCATTACGTAATCATCCCTGCTTTCTGCTCCATCCTCGTCATCCGAACACTGCATAACCCTTACGGGTGTGTCGCTATTGTTTCCCTTCGGTTGTTTGGCCTTGCAACTAGGGCACTTCCAGGATACATTTTTTTTTAAATTGTCAGCCTTTAAGCCCACACACAGATAATGGTATAGCTTATTACACGTTTTTTGGGTTCCACTCAATGTTCATGTTAGCTAGCACGCTCAAGAAATTGTTATCAAATATCTGTCGGAGCTGTTCGTACTCCTCCTGCATAGCATGGTTGACGCCGACAAAGTTCGTTCCACAGTCACTATATAGGTGACACGGGGCTCCGCGACGTGCTGACATTCTTCGCAGGGCAGCAAGGAAGGCGCTGCTGGACCGGTCGAACACTAACTCCAAGTGCACCGCCTTTGTCACCATACAGATAAAAACTGCTATGTGGGTTTTCGATGATCTTGCGCTTCTTGTTTTGTTCGCATTGATTTCTATGAAACCGGTGTAATCTACCCCCGTATGGAAGAATGAGGGCGCAAGCTCCGTTCGTGCAGGTGGCAACTCACCCATCAATTGATGGGATAGTTCTGGCTTCTTCTTGCGACACGTCACACAGTTTCTCAACTGTTTTTTCAGCGCGTTTATTCCTCCAACGATCCAGTATTGTTGTCTGAGATTAGCAGACGTCAATTTGGGACCTCCATGAAAGGCAAGTTTATGGGCTTCATGGACTAGCAGCTCTGCTAGGCGACTGTTTCGAGGAATGATTTTGGGATGTTTTGCTTCCATATTTAACTGCAATCTTGTTAACCGACCACCAACTCTCAACAATCCGGCTTCGTCAATAAATGGATTCAAATTTAATAATTTACTTTTTGTTGTTACTGTACCCGATTTACGTAAATGTTCAATATCCGTTTTAAATTAATTATGTTGCACATACTTCACGATCAGCATTTTTGCGGCAGCAGTTCATGTAACGTTATATGCTCGGCCTTTGCTCGCGCGGCTTCGGTGCAAGTGTCCTCAATAACCAAGCGACAATTCGTAATATTTTGTTGAATGAACTATAGTTTTGTAACAAATTATTAATCATATGATCTTCTTGTTTCTAGGTGACATGTACGTGTTTTGATCTTAAATCATGATTTTTTGTATATGTTTCTATTTGTAACTGTTCTTTATTGAAGGTTAGGAGCCAGGATGGCCCCTGCCACCACAGTTTATGTTCCTGAAGTTGTAATGCATATAACCCTCTGTCGCCGTGTCTGCGGGGGGTTTTCGCTTGATTTTACATAACGCCAACACGCGCTTGACATGACGTCAGTTGTTTTTGCACCCTGTTTGCAACAAAGGGTTTCCATCGGGTCGGCTACCCTTGGAGCCAGCCGAGCACCGCCGTCGAGTCCGTCCAGCCATAAATATCCAGTTTATGCTGATCAAAATTTTTTTCATTAGTTTTGATAGTAAATTAGCCCCACAAAGTTCTAATCTAGGAACTGTCATCGTTTTTTTCAATGGAGCTAATTTGGTTTTTGCGGCTACTAGCATCGCCTGCTTCCCCTCGATCCTCGCATAAATGACGCAAGCACACGCTTCCAGTGAGGCGTCACAGAAGCCATACAACTGTATGACATCATCTTTGTGACACAGGATCCACCTTGGGATATCATATTGATTAATGATGTTGATTTCTGTCTTTATCATAGCCCATTCTTTTTCTATTTTAGGTGAAACCTTATCGTCCCATTTTAAATCTTCTTCCCATAGTTTTTGAAAAAGCAGTTTCAGTTTTGTCGCAAGTGGCGCCAAAAATCCTAGCGGGTCAAAGAGTCTAGAAATATCAGACAGAAATCTTCGTTTTGTTACGGGTAATGTTTCTTTTGGTATTTTATGTTGATTTAAAAATGTATCGTCCTTCGAATCCCAGCATAATCCTAACGGTTTTAAAATTATACACCTCTCTCTGTTCTGTCTCTGTTATGTTTCCTTGTTGTTTTATGTTTTCTAAAAGCTGTGATTCGTTTGACGAACATTTTCGGAAAATTGAAACCTCCTGACTTCGTCAGTAGTTTTAAATTAGATATAAGTTTATTTCCTTCTTCTATGGACGATGTTCCATATAAAAGATCGTCTATAAAAAATGCTGATTCGACAATTTTTGCCGCTTCTGGAAAACTTGCTCGTTCATCAGCTGCTAGTCTTCTCAAGGTCATCATGGCTAGAAAGGGTGCCGCTCGTGTCCCGTAAGTGACTGTTGTTAAGAAAAATGTTTGTGTAGGCTCTTCAGGTCCTTGTCTCCAAAAATTTTTCCATTGACTCCCGTCGAATTGGGGGTTGATACGTATTTTTACAGAAAAGTTACGCTATTATAAGCACACACACAAAGTTACAACGTGCGGAAACGCGTAATTTTTGAGAAAAAGTTATTGAAAATCAATTATTCTTGCATTGTTTATATTCTAATCCTACCATAAAACTGACGCCATTTTGTAATGTCATTGTCGTCAGTAGGGATGTAGATTCTTTCCGAAAAAGATCGATTTTTAAATCGATTCAAATCGTAAGCTGATGTATCGATTCACAAAAAATCGATTTCTAAAATATCTATATTTTTTATGTTTGCATTTATAATGTAAATATAATTCTATTTTATGAAAACAAGAAAGATACCATAATAAATGATCTCTTATTGAAATTTGTTTTATTTTAACAGTACCAATTAGGGCAGATAACAAATAAAATAGGTTAGGTTCAACTTATGTCAAAGAACCGAATTGATTGACTTATATATATATATATTTTATTATTATATCTTTTTGTTTTCTTTTTTAAGGAAATGTAATATTATTTGAGTCACTACTCACTACTCACTAATTGGAGCAATTATTTTTATGTGGAATCCAGAATAAGTTCTTGTAAAAGTTTGCTATAATATTTGAATATCAATAAGTGTGTGAAATATTTATAACATATTGCTCCTTCCTTGCTCTTGTACCACACAACTAATATTTTAGTAAATATAGCTTTAATATTATTGAGCCAATTGTAGGATTTTACTGAACTAATTATTTTACGTCTATTCACTTTATTTCGTTCTAGGTTGCGGTTAAATGTGTTTTTTATGGTTTTGTTATTCTATTTGAATGTATTAAATGGGAAGAGCTTAACAGTTGTAACACAAATCTGTAACCTAGCACAGTTGCTTAAGATACCCAAATTATAGTATAGAGTAGGATTAGTTCTTGTCCATTTAAATTTTATAAGGTTTTGGCTTATGTAAAGTATTTTTGGAATCAATAAATATTATTTTTTATATAAAATAAGTATGATTTGTAAATAAGTCCTTCAGTTACGATCTTCCTATTTGGGCCCATTTTTAGTCGTTGTAGCGGTCAAACCGCAAAATCACTTATTATACTCATTATCAAGAAAGCCCACGTATTTTTACCGGCAACTTCGGAACCCTACCTCTACAACTATATTGTGCGTGGCCTGACACGCACTGGACCAGTTTTTTAAAACCCGCTGTCAGCGACGATATCCGAAGTGATCTCAAATATGAGTATTGCGTTTCTTAATCAATATTTATAAAGAACGAATGATACACTGATAAGTGAAACCTGACATTAAAAGAGGTCAAATTAAACTCTAGATATTGTTACCACATTATGATATTGCTACCCACGCCGCAAATATTGGCATGTATGCCATTTAGTAAATTTTATTTTTATTTTCTCAAGTTATCATTTTTATATAATTTTATGTAGAGGATTACATGAACACAATCATCTCACCATTCATAAAATCACAGATTGGACAGGCTTGTTCATTACAATTTGTAGTCCGTTGAGGATGAGTTGAATTCTTATAAGTACTTACTTGGTATACATAAAATATTAAAGAATGTGTATCTTTTTATCTACTACAACAATAACACAATCCTCTGTTGTTATTGTTGTTCTTCTTGGCAGGTCTGGATATTTTAGGTCTTGATTTTAAGATAGCTCTTCGTTCATCTTTGCCACGACACAATATAATTTAATGAGATTTCTTTAGTAGTAATTTAATCCCACACCACGGTGAAAAATGGTATAATGAATAGTCTAACGTTGGTGGCAAGGAATAATTTCAAAATATTTACCGTTGCTTATTAATAAACCTTCGCGGAGCCAAGGTCTTAGAAATGTGTAAGGATCCTGTTTTCTATTAAACCGTGTCGTTGAAAATAAAATCTGGAATGATTTATTGTAAATTATCAACTCACATAAAACGATGTGACTCTTAAACCTAAATAAAAAGGTAAGATAATAATAATTAAGTGGTATTGCTGTTTAGGGACAAAACAAGATTATGCTTAATTTCCATGTCACACCTTTAACGGTAGTTGTTGGGAGCATAACGGTCGAGATGTTCTCTTAACCAATATAAGGCAACAGATTAGTAAGCCTAAGTGGTGATGGGCTGGCTTTATAGTTCAAAGAACCGGTAACCGATGGGGAAGGAAGTGAAGTATACGGTGGCCTCACACTAGATGGAGTGACGACCTGGTAAGAGCTGCAGGTGGCTCAAGCCCGTGATTTGTGGCATTGCCTGGGGAGGCCTGTGTTCAACAGTGGACTTGTGATGGACTGTAATGATGATAATTATGATGAAATGCCTTCTAAGGTGAAACCAAAGAACGGTCAAGATAATGGCATCGTACTGATTTATATATAATATTCAGCAAAAAAAAAATGGGCGCAAGTGGCTACATGCATTCATTTTCACTTAAAGATAGTATATGCTTTCAATACATAGATGAGGCACACGTATTTGAAAACACGACTTGGGTCTAAAGGTAAGTATGACGCTAAAATTTATCCTCATACTCGTACATATCCTCCACCTCTCCATCGGAATATGCCAGAATTGGTAACTGCATAACCTTAAACGAATACCGTTTGGTGATTCTGAGTATAGGGTATGCAACTCACACATTTCAAAGCTTCCCAACGTGCTTAACGAAAGACTTGAGAACGCTTAATCTAACACATCCTTGGTATAAACAGTTGCCTCCTTGATGACACAACAAGTTGCCTAATTTGTAATTACCGTGTCCTCCTATTATATTTCAACTCAACTTCTCTATCCCTTCTTTAAGCTCTAGGGTCATCTCAGCAGTCCAATGAGTGTATGCGCCTAACATTTTTCGATCCAGTTGTCTATAATGGCCAACGATATCGTACGTAACGTAGCCGGGAATGGCTTGGACGGCGGAGACTGGGGTCGTTTCTGTAGGTCGTTATTCTTGGGGTGATTTTTGCCATAGTTGCCACGCTTAGCAGGTGGATTGACTACCACAGTTTTTTTTCTAGCTGTTATTAAAACGACGCTATTCTTTTGCAATTTGCAAGACGCTGTTGCTCATCTCCTAATTTCTTTCCCTTTGTTGGCTCTTACGACACGTACTGGACGATATGGGGTATCCTTGGATATCCAAACACCGCCACTAGACGGTACATTACATTTCAAATAAAACTAAAAGTGACACACAACTATACATACCTCAACATCGTCCGCACTATGTATGTTTACAACTCTTACACCAAATGCTTCCAATTTACTTATATCTCCATACATACGATAAAAGGATCTTGGAAGCAGAAACATTTCCTCTAAAAATAATATGAGTTAAAAAGGATAACTATTGCATTAAATACAACTATTAAATATACCTATTGAATTTTTATAACTTTTAATGTTAAGGTCAAAAGAACTGAATTATTATTTATTAATATTTGTTTGAACAACATTATTTTATCAAGAAAATGCTGAACAAAAGAAGTATTTCAAATATTATTTTATGACAATGAGCTCATTTTTTAAAACACGAAAATCATTTAATATGTGAAGTCAATTAATACCCTATAAAAGGTTAATTACCTTACCTGAAGAGACCAAAATTGTCAAAGCATTTCCCAAAAGGGGCCATCCTCGAGGCCCAGGTATGCGAGACAGTAAACGTCCTGCGTGACCATATCTTAATCGACAATAAAACGCAAATATTGTAATAAGCACAATTGTAACTGCTAGTGTTAAAGCCATCGCATCGGTTCTATTTTCACACACGCAAGTCCAAATAAAGACTGATGTCTGTTAATAACGCTCTCTTATATCAGTTTCCCATCAAGAACGACCTTCGTGGCGTTAAGATTACGTTTTTTATACAGAAAATAATAAACAAAACATTATTTTTGTTTAACAGAAGAGGGCCATTAGAGCTATGTTTACAACCTAAAACTGAGAGAGTCTCGCAGAGATAAATTTAAAGAAGTAAATATATTAACTTTGGCCTCTTAGTATATTTACGAAAATTTAATGTATGTTCACAAAAACAAAGGTAGCATTAATTAAAAAAAAGTGATATACACTCTGTAAATACTAGGAACAAACACAAGCTAGTGATACTAGTTTCTCGACTTCACAGAGTCTTTTTTCAAGACAATTTTTTTTTTGTATAAGATACTTATAAGAAAAAAATTAAACGTCAAATTTTTTGTTTTTATTCCCTTTTTAAATAAAATAGGTCTGGTACGTAAATATTTGACCAAAATCTCCCTAGACCAAGAATAAGAGCGTCATTCACTGCTACTTGTTAAGAGCGAGTTTTTATTTTTATTTAAAAAAAAAATATTTTCTTAATAATTATTTAAGAATTTCTAATGACCGAGTTAGTATATTAATATTTTTCTCCGAATAAGCAGAATATTCTTGGAAAAACTTTATCTTTGTAAACATTGCACCGCAAAATGTTGAGCGCGATTTTTTTTTTATTTTTAGCATAATTGACATTTAAGTGTAAATTTTTTTTTTTTTATAGTAGAGGGGGCAAACGAGCATGCGGCTCACCTGATGGTAAGTGACTACCGCCGCCCATGAACAACCGCAACACCAGGGGAATTGCAGATGCGTTGCCGGCCTTTTAAAAAGGAGTAGGCTCTTTTCTTGAAGGTCCCTAAGTCGTATCGGTCCGGAAAAATCGCTGGTGGTAAACTATTCCACAAGGAAGTTGTGCGAGGAAGAAAACATCTTCTAAATCGCACAGTGGTGGACCGCCAATCATCCAGATGGTGTGGATGGTATCGGGAGTTCTGCCGCGATGTGCGTTCGTGAAATTTGGCGGCTGGGATTAATCCGAACAATTCCTCAGAGCACTCCCCATGGTAAATGCGAAAGAAAATGCTAAGAGATGCAACATCTCTTCGCAGTGCCAATGAGTCGAGCCGATCGGAAAGGACTCGGTCGTCGACGATTCGAGCCGCTCTGCGCTGGATGCGGTCAAGTGGAAGAAGCTGGCACTGGGGAGCCCCAGCCCAGAGATGGGAACAGTATTCCATGTGAGGCCGAACCTGCGCCTTGTAAAGTTGCAGGCGTTGAGCCGGCATGAAATACTGTCCCGCTCTGCTGAGCACGCCAAGCTTTTTAGAGGCCAATTTGGCCTTCTCTTCCAAGTGACCACGAAACTGCACGCTACTCGATATGTCGACGCCGAGGATTCCGATACTGGCTGAGGCAACAAGGGGAGTACCTTGAAACTGAGGAGATACGACAAAGGGGTTCTTTTTAGCGGTTAACGCGCAAACTTGTGTCTTCTGAGGATTAAACTGGTCTAGATTTAGTCGCCCCCAATCCGAGACTTTGTCCAGCAAAGACTCGACTTCAGACACAAGTTTGTTCCGGTACTCGGTGACGTTTTCCCGAGAAATATTGGCACGGCCGGTGTATAGAGCATCACCAGTGCTGTCATCTGCATAGCAATGAATGCTACCAGCTTGCAACATATCATTGATATGCAGAAGAAACAGCGTTGGTGATAGCACGCAGCCTTGTGGAACACCAGCGTTAATAGGCTTGTAGTCGGAGCATGCACCGTCTACAACGACCTTGATGCTCCGATCTGCAAGAAAGCTGGTGATCCAATTGCATAATTTCTCGGGAAGCCCATAGGAAGGGAGCTTCGAAAGAAGCGCTTTGTGCCAAACCCGATCGAAGGCCTTCGCAATGTCCAAACTAACGGCCAATGCCTCCCCCTTGGACTCTACTGCCAACGCCCATCTATGAGTTAAGTAGACCAGAAGATCACCAGCTGATCGACCCCGACGAAAACCGTACTGGCGGTCACTAATCAGCTGGTGATCCTCAAGGTACCGCATGAGGTGGCAGTTTACAACGGATTCCATTATTTTGGAGAACAAGGGGGTGATGGCGATAGGCCTGTAGTTGGACGGATCTGAGCGGTCGCCTTTTTTAGGGATCGGGTGGACAAAAGCTGTCTTCCATGATTTCGGGACTACGCCTAGGGAGTAGGAGTACCGGAAAAGACGCGTTAGAACCGGTGCCAACTCCGGAGCACACGTCCTCAGCACAATTGGGGGGATTCCGTCAGGCCCACTCGACTTGTGGATGTCAAGGGAGAGGAGTGCTCTGCGAACCGAGCGCTGTGAGAATCGCACATCCGGCATGGAGCACTCACACCGCGGGATGGTCGGCGGTGTGTTCCCCCCGTCATCAACAGTCGAGTTGGACGCAAAAAGGGAGCCTAAAAGGTCGGCCTTCTCTTTTGCGTCGTGGGCCAGTGAGTCGTCCTCCCTGTGCAGAGATGGTAGTGATGGCTTAAAGAAATTCCCTTGGACAGCCTTGGCGAGAGACCAGAATGCACGGGTTCCCGAAGGAAGGCGAACTAGTTTCTCGCCAATTCTGCCTATGTGCTCTGACTTTGCCTTGGCAATAACTCTTTTGAAGGACCTGGAGGCGAAGTTATACTTCTTTTTGAGTGTGCTGGTGTTTACATCCCGAGTCACCGAAGCCGCAGCCCAGGCTTGATAACACTCCTGCTTACTGCGTAATGCAGTCTTACAGGAGCGACCAAACCAAGGCTGAGATCTGCCTCCGATGGGTACCACAGATGATGGAATAAATAGTTCCATTCCCTGTAGCACTACATCAGTGACAGAGTCAGCAACAGCGCTGGGATCATCCGGCGAGAAGCAAACCCGCCCCCATGGGTAGGAAGCAAAGAAAGACCGCATTCCGTCCCAATCCGCTGACCTGTAATGCCAAACACGGCGGCAACCTGCAGAACGCAACCGCGAGGGGAGCGTGAGTGGCACCACACTCCGGATCAGACAATGGTCCGAAGAGCCAAGAGGGGCATCGACGGAAACCTGATATCCGTCCGGATGAGAGGTCAGCAGAAGGTCCAACAGGGAAGGTGTATGATCCTCAACATCTGGAATCCGCGTAGGCGATGTAACCAGTTGTGTCAGACCATATGCCAAGGCAAAGTCATAAACAGATCTCCCCGCATGATCGGTTAAACGTGAACCGAGCCATTCGGCGTGGTGGGCGTTAAAATCGACAAGGATCACGATCTCTGCGGATGGGACCTGTTGTAGCAAGGAATCTGTAGCCATTTGGACGTGGTCGATGAGTCGGTCTGTTTCGGCATTACCGCTATGGGACCTATAGAGGCACACGTAGACGCGCGGATGGTCGTCGCTGTCTACGCGTAGCCAAAGGATGGACAGGTCCGAACCTTCAAGACTGCTGAGGCGTCGAGAACAGATGTCCTCTCTGACATACACGCAAACTCCAGCCCGAGGCACAAAGGAGTGCTCCAATTTGTACCCCGGGTAGGAGAGATACGAAGTATCAGCCGGAGAGGACACCTGCGTCTCGGTCAGAAAGAGCAAGGCCGGCTTCGCCGTCTCAAGATGGTAGTGGACGGCGTTTAGGTTCGAGTGAAGTCCCCTGATGTTGCAGAAATTCACGGATAGCGTGGCAGGGGTCGCCTTGGTCTTGTTGCTCAGTTTGCCCCGAGCAGTTATTGTGTTGAGCGGAATTTTGCCCCCCCCAGAATACGCGGGGCAGCCTGAGCACCCACGCTCAGGAGTGGAATAGCATGGTCGTGGATGCTCAGCGAAGGATTCTCCAGGGGTACTGGTACCCTCCTGGGGTAGTTTTTGACGTAATTCCGCTACCATGTTGATGGGGGGGGGGGGGGGGGGGGAATTGGGCATCCGGTCACCTGCACTCACCAGACGAAACGCGGAAGCAGAGCTTCCACTTCACGCCGGTATTCTGTGAGGTCGTGGTACTAACCCGGCTCGAGCCGGCCCATACGTGCAACAGCAAAAGCTGCTGCAAGGCTCTACCACCGTTGAAAAAATTATAATATATAAATCTGTAAAAAATTTCATTTTATAGCTCGAATTTTTAAGTCATGACTATATTAATTAATTGTTCACTGAATAGGAAAAATTAAACGTTTTATATGTGCTGAAACTGACAACAAAGAATAAATATTACCCTTTAATGATAATTTATTCAAGATGTTGCTTATTTATTGAAATAACAAAAAAGAACCATTTTAAATACGGTGTTTTAATATTAGTACCTGAATTGCAAAATTCTGAAGGGTATCATTTGAAATGTTATTACAAATTAGTTGCTGTGAAAAAAATCATTGGTTGTCGAATTTAATCAATCTTTACAAAAAATTAACACAAATAATAATAATAAATTGTTATTTGCGTTAATTGGTTGGTAATTGGTTATGGATGTATATAAATTATGTCTTGATAATTTAATGCTAATATATATGATACATAGAAATGAAATTTTTTAGCCCTCCAGCAGAAACAACACACGGTTAAATTACTATGGTCTATTAACTATAATTTAAATTTGAAGATTGTAAGATGGTATGTTTGTTGTTTATGTATTCCCTTATTATCTGACATAGATATTATTTTCATTCAGTATTAATAATGTTAGGCTGAATAAAATACTTTTACCGATTGAATTCATTTTAATACCGATTCTGCTGGTCCATCGAAAATACTGCCATCGTTCCAATCAGATGAATCTGTTGATATATTATCTTAGAATAGCGATCAAATAGAAATAGAGCTTTCTTGTAGTAAACTAAATCAATTGGTAAATTAGGTTTATAATTGACACAATCTTTTCATTTAATAATGGAATAAAATTCCAGTTGTTTCTAGTGTTTTAAACATATAGTGTTTGAATAAATTTTTAGCCCGAACAATGTATATTATCTATTATCTAAGAAATGCAGAACTGTAAAATGCTGTTTTAAATCTGCATCCAAACATTTTTCTCAAATACATACTTTTCCAAAAATATTTTGCTCCATAAATTATTCGAAGTCAGAAGTCAGAACATATTAATTTACTACTCCGTCATTAGAAATTCTTAAATAATTATTAAGAAAATTAATAAGATTAAAAGAAAAACTCACTCTGAAGGCTAGGTGTTTCTGTTTTTGTCCGTTTTAGAATCGGTTTTTGATAGCCAAATTATTGCATTTCGAATATGAAAAAAATATTTTAGATACATTCTTTCTCCTTACGATGTACCCGGACAATAAACGATACAATACAATTTTTCCGATAGAAAAAATTACCGAACTACGTTGGATTGCAGTTTTAGAACAAGCCAAATTTCCAAAATTCCGAGGGAACCTTCCGCGGCGTTGTCCACAATCACTTTCCTCGTTCGTCACGATGACAGTCCATCAACTCTATCGTACTATTAACTAACTTACAGAAGCCACTAACTCTCGTTTGTTATAAGGTTAACGCACAAAACGAACACGGAGGTCAAAGGTCACTACCGTTTCGCGTAGCAACAGTTATCTATAGAATATCAAATGCCGCACTAGCTAATATTGCCGAATGCACTTATGCAGATTCTGAGTCAGACACAATGAGTCCCTGGGAAGCTCTCCAGCAGGAAGTTAATTCGCGTTAATTCTTGAAATTAGCGTTTGGCGCGAACAAGCATAGTGATAAGGTCGTCCAGCGATTCTACCATAAGAGCTATATCGTCGGCAAATCGAAGGTGAGTGATGTACTCGCCATTGATGTTAATACCGTATCCTTTCCAGTGCAGTAGCTTAAAAACATCTTCCAATGCAGCGGTGAGGAGTTTCGGGGATATAACGTCACCATTTCTTACACCTTTTACGTGGTAGAGCCATGCTGCAGCTATATTATGGTTGTAGCACGAATGGGTCGGCTCGAACGGGGAAGGACCACGCTCTCACAGAAAACCAGCGTAAAATAGCAGCTTAACGCTGCTGTGTTTCGTATGGTGAGTGTAGAGAACCGGAGACCCTTTTTACTGGCAAAGAGGCATTCCATCTTAGTCCTCACGGGCGACAACGCATGTGCATCTTGAGTCTTTATTGAGGATAGATGTAGATGTCTATGGGTCACAGTAACCACTTACCATCAGGTGGACTGTGTGCCCGTTTGTCACCCGATCCTATAAAAAAAAAAACCTCTCTGCAGTTGGATAGGTTTCGTACTCTGATGTAGCCCTACTGCACAAACACTTAAACACTTCGATATACCGACAGTCAATATAGCACTGCTGAAGGGACTGTAGCACCGCTCAAATTTAACGGAATCAAAGGCTTTCTCATAATCTACATACGCAAGTCAAAGTAGAAAGATTGTACTCCTCGGACTTCTGTACAATTTGCCGAAAGGTATGTATGTGGTCTATGGTGTTAAGGCCTTTTCGGAAACCGGGTTGTTCGGGATTCGTAATGACTCTCGAAAACAGCACGTAGACGCGGTCCAGAAGGGTAATCGGTCTGTACTGTCGGATAAGACTTGCTCTTGGATCGTTACTCACACTTGCGTGTGGCTCCATAGATGATGTATACAGCTGCCCATAGAACCTCTCAATCTCATTCAAAATCTCAGGTGTCCCGTAAACGATACTGCCACATTCGGTCTTCAACTTTGACAGTTGGTTCTTTCTGGCAGACAGATCTCTGGCAAAGACTTTCGAGCCCTAGTTCCGCCCAATCGCTTCTTCAATACGAGCTGTATTGAAGTTGCGTAAGTCCCGCCACTTGCAATTGAAAATGTGTCTGTTCATTTTCCTGTATGCCGTCAAATCTGCTGAAGACTACAGCTTCATATCCCATATAACAGCCACGAGATTAAGAGTGTGATCGGAGAGTTTTTCTGTTCTTGTGCGATGGGTCGTCAGAACTTTGCTCCGGCCGCATTGACAGTTTCCACGAGCTTGTCATTCATATCGTCCACTGTACTGCGGTCTTCTAGGCACTGAAAACTGTTTTGTAGCTCGAGCTGAAAGGATTTGGGACTTTGGATTAGAACCCAAGGGGGGTGGAGAGTTGATTTCATTAGACGTGACCTCTCTAAATTACGTTTAGCTACAGTGTGCCTCTCACTATTTGGTGTCATTTGGTTATCATAATGAAGTCAATCTCATTTCCGCTCGAATCGTCGGGGCTCAACCAGATCAACTTTCTGTGAAGTCGCTTCTGGAAGAAAGAGTTCACCATAAAGAGTCCATAATCCAGTAATCCAATAATTGTTTTTTATTCACATTGCCTCTTCTCCCAATAAAAAGTATCAATATACTATTAGGACTATGGCTACTTATTAGAATTTTATTTATAATTTGGCTAAATGTTGCTCCAGGCATACAATAATTAGTAATTTGGTATTCCTTTAGACAGTTATTTAAATAACTGTCTAAAGGAATACCAAATTACTATATAGGTACAAACTAAGGTTTACTCGTAGTATTAATACTACGAGTAAACCTTAGTTTGTACCTATATCATCACGGTACACAACGATATTATTTTTGCTAAGATTTAAATTATTCAAATTATTTATTGTTCTGGAACTGTCATGGAGTTTATAAGTAGGAGAGGAGTTCTTTTTGTCCATATTATTAACACATACTGTCCCTGAAGTAACCAGTAATGACCGCTGACACTCACACTGATGTTTTACTAATGAATCAAAACGTTCCTCATTATATTTACACAGCGTCACCAGTTCGTCCATGGCCAGTATATGTTCCTTTATTTCATTTTGAGATAATTTATATTTATTTGTCATAACTTGTAGTGCATTGTGACAATAACAGTTTAATAGACTAACAAAGTAGCATAATTTTATGGCCATATTTTGGTTTTTTTTTTTTTTTTTTTATAGAATAGGGGGCAAACGAGCATGCGGCTCACCTGATGGTAAGTAACTACCGCCGCCCATGAACAACCGCAACACCAGGGGGATTGCAGATGCGTTGCCGGCCTTTTAGAAAGGTGTAAGCTCTTTTCTTGAAGGTTCCTAAGTCGTATCGGTTCGGAAAATTCGCTGGTGGTAATTGATTCCACAAAGAAGTTGTGCGAGGGAGAAAACTTCTTCTAAATCGCACAGTGGTGGACCGCCAATCATCCAGATGGTACGGATGGTAACGCGAGTTTTGTCGCGACGTGCGATGGTGAAATTGAGCGGCTGGAATTAGTCCGAACAATTCCTCAGAGCACTCCCCGTGATAGATGCGATAAAATACGCAAAGAGATGCAACATCTCTACGCAGTGCATTAATCATAGACAGTCTGGTTGGGGGTTTAAAGAACATCTTGATAAAAATTTTAATATTATTTCCGGCATAAGACAATTATTAAAGATATCTAAAAGTCGCAGAAAGGTGATTTATATTTTATTTATTATAGCTAGAGGTGAGGCTAAGCCAGCCAGCTGTAATTGTTGGGTGGGTAAAATAGCTTTTGAGACAGGCGGGAATTGATGCTATTCCTGGTTCAGTAAGATCAGCAGTATCTTCCTTAAATTGGTTAAAACATTTTTGCCTAGATAAAATCCTAGCGACTGATAATTGGAAAACTGTACACACATTTCAAAATTAATAACCCACTTATTAAATAATTATTCCATACATTTATCCATCCATCAATTACAGCCTATGCTCCCACCTGTCAAATAACATACGCAAAGTCTAAGCGTAATAAAAGCATCCAGATTTTAATCAAACGGAATGACAGTCACTTGCAAATTATTCAAAGCCTCTCTTTCGCCTTCGCTGTTCGCTTAGTCCAACGCTGCTAGGTGACATTTTTCAGTACCAGCGGTTGGTACCCAGTACTCAGTACAGTACTCCAGTATGTACAACCGCTCTTGCTCCTTTAAGGTAAGAAGCTAGTAGCAGTATTTATTTATTTTTTGAAATCAAAAAATAATATAAATTACGGGCTTAATTCTTAGGTATTCTGAATTCACTGGAAAGTGCCTACACATATCCGCATCGCGGGGTTTAGACGGGATAACCCGTCCAAACCGCGCGACGATTGTACTCGCTCCGAATTTAACCCCATGGTATATTTTAATACGATTATTACAAAATTTTTACTAGGTAGGTTTTCTTCTGTTAGGTATACATATGGCCTGGCAACCTTTCACATGGATAACTTCTGAGCGGCCCGAAGTTGACCAGTCCCGGTGTGAAGTATCTACTGGCGAAATATGTCCACCATTTCATTTCATCCATACGTTAAATATAGAAAACTGCCTTAGTATTCAGGAGAGCAGGGAAAATAGATTTATATTTGTCAAAGTGTTATTGCTTGCACTAACTAGGATTTAATAACCTTTTTAATAGGATTTAATAACCTTTTTTTTTTAATTATTGCTACAATATTCTGCTAAAGTTTTGTCTCATGGTTTCACTAGATAGATTTATATTCATTCATTAGAGCCCATCAAATGTCCTCTGTTGAACAAAATCCTCTCTCATTGATTGACACAGTATGCGTCATCAGGGAAATATTTTCCATAGTTGCACACTTGGTAGAAAAGTGGTAGAACTCCTCTGTCTTATTTCTGTCACCAAGCCGCACTGAAACATTGCATTGCATCTTAGTCCATAGATGTGAAAACGCATCGTGAGCACTACACTATTTTTTTTTTTCAATATTTTAATAATTTCTGGAACAGAAGCGTACATAAAGAGGATTAGAAGTACGTAAAACAATATCAGCCTTAAATATTAAATCTTCAGGCTTAGTTACAGGTTCCAACCGAAATCTTCTGATTAGTCCTGACATCAATGTTTTCATCTCCAATATTGCAAATTTTTGACCTGCGTTATAAAATATTCGATTACATGTAAACATTAAAATTTAAAATATTTATAATTTTTAACATTTTATTAGCTGGTAAAAGGCATTAGTAATCAGAGAATAGAATAACTTTTCATTGTTGTCTAACATGATTTGCTAATTTATAGCTGTAAAGGAAAGCGATTAAATGGAAAATTTTGCAAATTTCTTAACAAACAACGCTTCCATCTTGTAAATTTCCCGTGTAGTAGCGGTGGAAAAGAATCCGCTACCGGAAAAATAATGATGTCCTCAAGATAGCTTTTTGGTTTTTGGAGACTAATATTCTGCGTAGAACAGGCACATAGTGCACGGGTGTGTGCATAAGCACAGGTACACTATCTGGCTGCAACTTATTAACTCTGTGCTGCTACTGAGAAATTCTTGACCGAAAAACCCAATCACTGATTTTGGCCCGACCGAGGATTCGTACCTGGGGGAACCACATGATCAGCGGTTGCATATACTTACTACCAATGAATTAACGCGATAATCCCCATTCCCATAATGTCATAGTCGTGGGTGTCGTTAAAAGTCTGAACGTGGTAGACCTACGCTATGTTATGAACCCTTTTTACTAAAAACAGGGCATTCCTTCTTAGTCCTCAAAGGTTACAATGCATTTGTATTTTTATTCTTAATCGAGGGTTAATGTAGATCTGTGGAATCTACATATGTTACTGTAACATATATTCACTTCCCATCAGAAGGACTGTGTGCTCGTTTGTCACCCTCATTCTATAATAAAAGGTCTACAGAGTATAACCGAAATAGAATAGAATGATTTTTATGAAATATAGATTTCATATAATTCTTATTGAATGTAATTTTTTTACTTTTACCACTGCTGGTTCGAAAAAAAAACTTTGTCCTAGGAAAAAACAGCAAGAAAGCCAGTGGGGCTTTTTTATTAAATTAATTTACAATATATTATTTTATACAATTAGTTTGAAAACATTTAGAAATAGCATTGTAGCGATCACCTCATTCCCAGGGGTAGATAAAGCTTGTATATTTTCTGCGACTTTGTTGTAAAAGCCTATACATTGCCCATGATGTAAATAGCCGGGGCTACACAGAGCGCGCGGGCTCGCACGGCTGCCTCGATGTACGGATCGTGAGCTTGGCTTAGCGAGGCAGCCTCAGTAGTTTACCCGAAAACACAGAGTTGTGTAATTTCTGCTGCATCTACTTTCATAGTAGCTTATTGTTTAAGGAAAAGGAAACAGTCACGTTTTAAAAAAAAGGTCAAGACGCTGGTGGATTAAATAACTTTATGAGCATTGCAGTCAATATGGAAATAAATTACTAATGTGTTTGACATTATATTTTTCCTAAAATTTTCCTCCAATTGTCGTCTTGTTTTTCAAATATTTAAGTTTTTTGGGATCTCACAACATCTTATATCCACTTTATAATTGAATTAGATGAATCGACTACTTTTGAGTGTTCATAATGATGAAATTTTTACGAAACAGCTACATAACAAACAACAACACATCTGTAGAATAGCCTCGCGAGTCGAAACCACCGTCCACATCGAACGACACATGAGGCTGTAGGCACCTTTGAGCACGTCCCGTTTACCGACAGCTGACGGCTAGACCCCGAGGCATGTTCAGTTAAGGTAACGTGCGCTCAAATGACCACGAGGCACGTCCACACAGAACGAGAATTTGGCCTACGAGCCTGCCACGCGCGCCTGTGCGCCCAGTGTGGACGCGGCTAATTACTCACTCGTTGAAGTCGTGTAACTGCTATAACTAACTTGTGCTTTTTGTTTTTACAAATTGTACATCACTATTTTTTATTAAAGTATTTTTATTTTTGTACACATAAGTACATTCAATTTTCGTTAACATACTGAGAGTTGAGAGAATTAATATATTTATTTCCTTAAGTTTTTCTTTAAGGAATTCCTTCGGACCTAAATTATAAATTGCTCTTATGGCTCTCCTTTGCAAAACTAAAATAGTTACAATGTCAGTCGCATTACCCATAGCAATATATGACATTGTGCTATGGAAATAATTAAAATAAACTAATGTAACCGTTTCAACACATATAAGGCATCTAATCTTTTTACAGCATATGCTGCAGAAATAGAAGATGCGCAGTAACATTTTCCTGATAATAGCACTAATAATACACAATAATAATAAAAAATTACAGCTGCCGAACCGCCTGTCAAGCGTGGCAGGCAACAATGGCAATTACCAGATTAAAATTATTCTAGATGACGGGGGGAACACACCACCGACTATCCCGCAGTGTAAGTGCTCCATGCAGGAAGTGCTGTTTATACAGCGCTCAGTACGCAAAGCACTCCTCTCCCTGGACGTCAATTCGAGTGGGCCTGATGTAGTCCCACCTATTGTGCTGGAGACGTGTGCTCCGAAGTTGGCACCGGTTTTAACGCGTCTTTTTCGGTACTCCTACTCCCTAGCCGTAGTCCCGAACAAATGGAAACAGCTTTGGTGCACCCAATCCCTAAAAAAGGCGTCCGCTCAGATCCGTCCAACTACAGGCATATCGCTATCACCTCCTTGTTCTCCAAAGCAATGGAAAGCATTACTAACTGCCAGCTCATGCGGTACCTTGAGGATCACCAGCTGATTAATGACCGTCAGTACGGTTTCCGTCGAGGTCGCTCAGCTGGTGATCTTCTTGGTTACCTAACTCATAGATATAGTGGTGTGGATAGAGGCAGTGGAGTCCAAGGGGGAGCGTTGGCCGTTAGTTTGGTAATCGCGAAGACCTTCGATCGGGTCTGGCACAAAGCGCTTCTTTTGAAGTTCCCTTCCTATGGGCTTCCCGAGAAATTCTGCAATTGGATCTCCAGTTTTCTTACAGAACGGAGCATCAAGGTCGTAATAGACGGTGCATGCTCCGAATACAAGCCCATTAACGCTAGTGTTCCACAAGGTTGCGGGCTATCACCAACGCTGTTTCCTCTGCATATCAATGATATGTTGCTAACTGATAACATTCATTGCTATGCGGACGACAGCACTGGTGATGCTCTATACACCGGCTGTGCCAATATTTCTAGGGAAAACGTCGCCGAGTACCTGAAAAAACTTGGGTCTGAAGTTGAGACTTTTTTGAATAAAGTCACAGACTGCGGGAGACTAAATCTAGCCCAGTTCAATCCTCAGAAGACACCAATTTGCGCGTTTACCGCCAAAAAGAACCCCTTCGTCTTATCTCCTCAGTTTCAAGGCACTCCCCTTGTTGTCTCAGCCAGTATCGGAATCCTCGATGTCGACATATCGAGTGACGTGCAGTTTCGTGGTCACTCAGAAGAGAAAGCCAAATTAGCCTCTAAAAATCTTGGCGTGCTCAGTACAGCCGGACAGTATTTCATGCCGGCATACCGCTTACAACTTTGCAAGGCGCAGGTCTAGCATCACATGGCTCCCCAGTGCCAGGTCCTTCCACTTATCCTCATCCAGCGCAGAGCGGTTCGAATCGTCGACGATTGAGTTCTTTCCGATCGGCTTGATTCACTGGCCCTGCGTAGAGATGTTGCTCTCTTTGCCTATTTTACCGCGTTTATCACAGGGAGTGCTCTGAGGAATTGTTCGGACTAATTTCAGCCGCTCAATTTACCATCGCACATCGCGACCAAACTCGCTATACCATCCGTACTATCTGAATGAGTGGCGGTCTATCACTGTGCGATTTAATAGAAGTTTTCTTCCTCGCACAATTTTCTTGTGGAATCGATTACCACCAGCGATATTTCCGGACCTATACGACTTAGGGATCTTCAAGAAAAGAGCTTACTACTTTTTAAAATACAGGCAACGAATCTGCAATTCACCTGGTTCCCCTGTTGTTACAGTTTTCATGGACGGCGGTATTTACTTATCATTAGGTGAGCGACATACTCGTTTGCTCCTCTCCTATAAAAAAAATAAGAGGCAATGTATAGTGTGTGTAGTCATGTTCAGCAGTGAAATTCTGATGGAGAAAATTACCTAGTAAAATGATAAGATTAAGCTTTATCATTAAGATGTAGCAACGGGATATAATAACTTCAAGAGAAGGATTATAAAAACAAAACATATTTACATATTGTAAATCCAAATATGCATGCCTGCAAATAAGCGCTCAGGTTGTACGTCAAATTTTTAAGGTATTTTAAATATACACGAATTTTCACCAACAACCTTATTTTATATTTCCAATTTTCCGATAATTTAATGTCAAACTTCAATAAAAAATCACTATATCAAGTCCATCATAACTAACAAAACAAGGCCAAACTCGGCACACCTAGCTCTACTCATCGAGGAGTTTCAGGAGCGTTCACCGTAGTACACCTTCAGGTCGCTCTATCAAGTCCGGAGGTAAGATCTCATCATAACTAACAAAACGAGGTCATACTCGGCACACCTAGTTCTTCTTTTCGAAGAGTTCCAGTAGCATTCACCGAAGTACACCTTCAGGTTACTCTATTAAGTCTTTAGGTAAGGTCTCATCTTAACTAACAAAACGAGGACAAACACGGCACAACTAGTTCTACTTTTCGAGGAGATCCAATAGCATTCACCGAAGTACACCGTCAGGTCACTACATAAAATCCAAGACGTAGAAGTATATTTGCATATAAATCTTACGTACTATAAGGGAAACAAAATACTGTAATAAAAATTTGTCAAATTTTTATCAAATTTGGTTTTTCGGATATTTTGTATTTTTTTTTTATAGGATAAGGGTGACAATCGATTACACAGTCCACCTGATGGTAAGTGGTTGCTGCGGCCCATAGACATCTACATCTATCCTCTGTTACAAATCAATATGTAGATGCGTTGTCACCCGTGAGGACTAAGATGGAATGCCTCATTTCCAGTAAAAAGGGCCTCCGGCCACCTGCACTCACCAAGCGAAACGCAGAGGTAAACCTCTACTTCACGCTGGTTTTCTGTGAGGTCGTGGTACCCCGGTTCGAGCCGGCCCATCCGTGCGACAG